GTGGGGCTTCTTGGACCGCTTAGCCGCAAATCAATGCCCGAATGATTGGATGCTATTCGACATCCAAAGCACCTTGCGCGATGCGAGTCGTGATGGCGGGACTCGCTCGAGGAGGGTCACCCTGTCAGAGATTGGACGATCAATCTCCTGCCCTGCCCGTGCTCCCAGGTCATAAAGATGGTCGAGCAACTCCTTTCTCTGCCGTCTCTCTTTTGGTTTTTGCGCGAGCAAAAAACACCCCTTAGCTACACTATGTCGTCATGGACGAAATCTCATCAGTACGCACAAGTTGAACAAGCAGTTGACAATGGCGAGAATGTCCAACATAGAGAATCGCGGCTGAGGCAGTACTGGCAAAAGGGCAAAGTCCACGTTTTTTACGCGATACTCCTCGTCTTGGTGGCGGGGCTCAGCAGACATACCGCGCCTAGCAATGCTACGCCAGATTATTACGGCGTTGAGCCCGTTAAGTCTGAGATGCGGTGTAAGATACCACTTGGCGTCCACATTCCTTTCTCACAACTCTAATTTTGCACAGTGTCAACCATAAGCAAGACTTTTGAGCTAGATCTCAATTATGCCATGCCACCATCCCCACAAGTCGATGAAGCTTGGGCATCGCTTCTTCCTAAGGAGGGTGGCTTCTTTCAACACTCCAAACTTGCGCCGCAAAAGAGCTGCATAGCGGTGTTCCATCAACTTCACTGCCTTGACATGATCCGCCAAGCACTATATGAGGCGCGGCCTGACATCATGGAGCAAATCAACAATGGGTCGCACCCTACAGACCACAAGGGAGACCACAAGGCAGGGCATGACGCTTCTCCCGATCACAATCACGTCAAAGATATGTATCATATAGGACACTGCATGGACCTTGTCCGTCAGTCTATACTTTGCAGACCTGACCTGACTGTGGAGGTTGGTGACCCTGCGTTGGGCGGTGTAACGGGGTTCGGTACTGAGCATCAGTGCGTGAACTGGCAGGAGTTAATGGACTGGATGAAGGATCACGAATGAGGCGTTGGATTCATAAGACGACGACTTGCACTAGCCACGACCAACTGAGGCGGGTACAAATGTATTGTGCGCATTTACCATGAGCTTTACTCGCTCCAGCGGAGAGCAAGCGAGCGTGCAATTTCCAGCTGAGAATTGCGCCACAACATGGAACAGGCGAATCTGGTATAACTGGACTCGCGGAATAATAGATACTGGGTAAAATGAATCTGCCGCCATAGAGCAAAAAGACATGAACTTCCCTACGGAGCTCATCACAAAAAGGAAATACTGCGAAAGATATGGAAAAACTAACATTTTCAGCAATTAAATTTTGGACGAAAAGCCAGCAAAATGAGACAGTTATCGATGCACAAGACAACGTTCAGGCTGGAAATAATCTCGCTCTCTAGGGCAAGAATGGCAGCTGTGGTTTGACATGCTCACTTGTCGAAATCAAATCATCAAAGCACATTCCTGATTGAGCCATAGCGCTGCCCAGCAAGCTTTACAGCAACATAATCTTCAGTTTCCCCCGAAATTACGGGCCGCCGGAAACCGGCACTGGAACATCTGCAGACTGCAACCCACTAAGTACCTCACTCAGCCAATAGCCAAGAAAATCGAAGCAATAGTCGAAGCCAAATTGCCGCAATCGATTGCGTCGGACAGTTGAAGAGTTGGCTGCATCCGATCGTTCTTGGCAAGCAGGATGAAATGCTCGTCCCATGTCCATCAAGCTTAAATCATCTTCAGTCGACGTCCGTCGTCCAAACACCATGGGTGGTTGAGTCAGTTTCGGGTCTCAGAGGGTGTCCCTAGATCGCCCCCAATGGATCGCCCAACGGAAAGTTTGACTCGGTTCGTATAGGAGTTTAGAGTTCTATTAATCATGCCCGATCCTGGACTCTCCAAAAATCGCACTTTCTCCGGACGATCCGGCTGTCAGGTTATTTGGAGTTTCCGTTTGTCTTGCGATTGAGGTGCTACTCCGTAGAGTACCTAGTTCCACGGAATAACCCACCGATAGGTTTAATTGAGCAAGGTCTCCTCGTGCAATTCCTCTTGGAAAGTTTAGCATTCAGGGGCATATCGACGATGGATTAGGGTTAATTGCATTTGAGTTTCAGCAAGACGAGTCGCCTATGATTTTTCCATGCGTGCCGTGCCAGCAATCGGTCCCTTATCTAATGTGGTAAGACTGCCTTCGGCTCAGATTACGAGAAGCTTAGCCTACGGAAGCCAAATCTTATCCTAGGAGCTAAGCTTCCTGTTGTGTATTGGGCAAACTGAAATATATGATTTGAGGAACCTTTGGTAGCCGATGTTGCAGTGCTCTCGGCAGGTCATCGACCAAAGCCATTGGCCCGTGTCGATGCCAATTAGAGGTGTTTATCAAGATCACTTCCTCCCTCATCTGAAGGATGTTCTGGCCAACATCTCTCAAAGCACCAACTTTGTGTCACCATGGTTTCTGCGATGTCCCTCCGCCACCTTCTGCTGGCATTGTTGCCTTGTACTACCGTCTTGGCCGATTCTTGGCGAGTCGACGGCTTCAACCCGGTCAAGAAATTTGCAGAGGCCAAGCGGTTGCCTGTACGCCGCCATCTTGAGCGTCGTCAAAACACCGAGAAGTACCAGTACCTGAATGACAAGACTGAGAGTATGTCCACCCAACCTCGACTTCCTTCTGTTCGTACGCTGATATTACAAAGAGTACCTTGTGAACGGCACGTCTATTCCGCTAGTTGACTGGGATCTGGGCGAATCATATGCTGGCCAGATTCCGATCTCGAAAGAATCGAATGAGACTCGTCAACTCTTCTTCTGGTACGTACAAATACCTGTCCCAGACGCCGTCTATTTTGCAACATTGACACTCATTCCCAACAGGTACTTCCCTAGCACTAATCCAGATGCATCTGAGGAGGTCACCATTTGGTAAGTTTTCTCGAACTCCCAGGGACACTTTTCTCGGAGCTAGTCGCATACTGACTCCTCTGCAAGGCTGAACGGAGGCCCGGGATGCAGTTCTTTCATTGGCCTGGTCCAGGAGAATGGACCTTTCACCTGGTTCCCTTCGGCTTACCGCCCGGTTTACAACATTTTCAGCTGGTCCCAACTCTCAAATGTGCTCTACGTCGATCAACCCGCTGGCACTGGCTTCTCGGTCGGTAAGCCCGGAGTCAACACGGAAGAAGAGACCGCCCAGCAGTTCCTCGGCTTCTACCACAACTGGATGGAGACCTTCGGAACCAAGGGCCACAAGACTCATCTTACCGGCGAGAGCTACGCAGGACACTACATCCCCTACATTGGTGACGCCATGATCAAATCCAATCAGTCTGCTGACTACAACCTCTCCGGTGCCCTGATGTTTAGCCCGTACATCAGATCTGATCCTGGTGACTTCCAACAGCATGCGGTTTCCCTGCCCTTCGTCGAGGAGTACAACAACGTCATGGGCCTATATCCTGGCGTTGGGAACTATTACGACCGGATCAGTGCCGCCGACAAAGAATGCGGCTATGCCGATATGCGCGAGAACTACTTCACCTTCCCTCCCAAGGGACCCTTCCCGCCCGGAAACAACAGCGATGACTGCGCGATCTCGTCTATTGTCTACGAAGGTCTGGGGGAGGTTAGCCCTTGTGCCAATATCTACCACATCTCTCAGGGCTGCCCCAATCCATCGGATCCTCTCAACTGGGCCGCTGAGGGAGACAACGCCTCTGTACCCCTCGGCTTTGACAAGGCGGACTGGCACTCTTACCTCAACCTTCCCGAGATGCGCAAGGCCATCCACATTCCCACCGGCCAGAGAGACTGGAAGAAGTGCTCCGACGAGAACCCGTTCGGTCCCACTGGCGATGTCAGTCTTGACCCCTTCGCCTCTGGCGCTCTGACTCGCGTTATCGAGCACACAAACAACTTCATTATTGCAAGTGGCAACCTCGACTTCCGTGTACCCACCAACGGTACTCTCATGGTGCTCCAAAACATGACTTGGAATGGACAGCAAGGCTTCGACGAGTTCCCGTCCAAGACTTTCTTCCTCCCTACAGCCTACAGTGATTTGTCTTCCCAGAGTTCGGCTGGAAAGATTGGCGATTGGGTCGCACAGCGGGGCCTCACCTTCGCTCGTGTTTTCAATGCCGGACACGGTCAGTTACCCAAGCAGTCTAGACGGATTTGACTAAATATGTACTAACCCTCGGCCCAATAGAGCTCCCTCAATACGCTCAAGGAGCCGGCTATCGTCTCCTAGAACAGCTTCTCGGCCGTGTTACGGACTTGACTAGCGACCTCATGTTTACTGCCCTTCCAGGTGACTTCACGGGCTCGAACACAACGCATGGGTCTACATCTCACTAGAAGACCCTAGCGGGTATATAAGTCGGCATCCTCGAGGCTCTCGGGTACAATTTAGGTTTTATCTACGACCAAACCTCATCACAGTGCATACAGACATGTTAAGTTGTTCAAATGGCATAGAAGGCTTTCATGGAGCTTGAATACAAAGTACTTGAACCTCGCCTTCGAAAAAGTTCTCCTTGCGACACAGAAGTAACTCTGACTAGTCATTCTCGTATCGTGAACTCTCGTGGCTATCCGAGTGTATTTTGATAATAGAGGACGGAGGTTCGAACAATCACTGTACTCTGCCCAAATATGAGTGTTGGGTTTGTTATCCATGATGCCATCTTACAAACTGTCACAGTAGATGATTTTCTCCCAAGAACGATGGAATGAGACAAAGACTTTTGCACGGACGTGACGAATCGCAAAGTCTGGAGCACTTCTTGGGGTGTGTTGGGAGGAATAGCGCACCGCATGTCACTTCTAGACATGAGTCGTCACATGAGAACAGTAATAAGACCTCAATCTTTTCTCGCGTCCATAAGCATCAGATTTCGCTATTAAACCACAGGCGACATAGTACGTATACTCTTCACGCTTAATCCATAAATCCGTAATAAGCAGCGTTTGTTTTCGAATGATCACCAAGACAAATCAACACCATCGAAGTTCTTAAAACCACCACTAACGTCCTTCGTAGCGTTGTCAATGATATGGACCATTCCTGTAACACTTTCCTCAACCGCAATGGCTCCCATACACTTAATATCAGGCACACCGATCTTCTTGGCTAGCTCGGCAGACATGTCTGTCTCGACCAGACCAGGATTGAGAACAAGCGCTGTGACCCATGGCTCCTCAATGCTCAGCCTCTTCACAAACCAGTTCAGCATTGCCTTGCTCGCTCCGTACGGGCTAGAGCTCACGCTCGGCGGGAACAATTTGGCCAGGCTATCCTGCATACTGATGCTTCCAATCACCGAGGATACAGCAACGAACATCGGTTTCTTGCTGTTCACCAAAAGCGGGACGGCTGCACTGAATAGAAGGAGGGGCGCGATAGAATTGATTTTGACATGGTCTAGTGCCGCAGTGGAGGAGATGTCGCGAATGGGGGTGCTGGTGTGGGAAATGCCTGCATTAGCGATGATCGTATCGATAGTGGAGATGTTATGCTCCTTCTGGAGGAGTTCGATAGCAGTCACGGGATCGTCGTCGATAGAGGAATCGAGTTTGATGAGTATGAGGGTGGAATTTTCGCCTCGGACGAGGCTCCTGAGGGCTTTGGAGGAGTCGGCGAGCGGGTCACGGACGCTGGCGATTACCCTGGTCGAGGGACGCTGAAGAAGGGCGGTAACGAAGCCTTTCCCGATGCCACGGCTAGCGCCGGTAACGAGATAGGTATGGCTATATAGCATGACGAGAATTGGTGCTGAGTCTAATGGTTGAACCTGAGTCGACGAGCTTGCCTAATTAGGGGTCAGGTTAACTTCTTAAAGGTATTTCCAGCTTCGGATCTCTCGGCAGGTGAATTACTCTGAAGGTAAGGCTTGCTACTGCCAGAGTTGGCTGACGTTGCAATTAGCAGGTGCCGAGAATATAGCTCAGTTTCAAAGGTAGGGAGACCCTTACTTGAATCGAACTTACTCTAGGCGAACACCCAACGCGGAACCCACTGCTACCAAGATCAGAGTAGGCTTCACAAAAAGACCGTCGACAAGCATCGATGCCAGCTACTTCAAAAAGTCGCATGCCGTCCTGATCACAGTCCATCAATATTATATCCGCGTAGGCTTGGAAAGGGTCAAGAAATCAAAATAGGCGAAGAAGACAGTCATAGCTTGACCATACGGTAAAAACTGCATTCGACTTCAGAAGCATTCCTCTTCAAAATAAATGGCAGGTGCATGGGTCGAGACTGTCATCCACAGACATATCATTCAGCGGCTGCAATATGATTGTCGACATCCTATTCGGTTGCTACAGAGTTTATCGTTTATCGTGTATACTAATGTATAGATGTCTCCGAGCGCGACGCCTCTATTTGAGAGGCCAATCACTGTCATTCAACATATTGCAAGCGTCGAAGTGGCTATCACTGCTAATTGCGCTGTCTTGTTCGCGGGCATATGACGTGACCTGCCCGAAATATTGCCAATTGGTGCCCAACCCCCGCCCAAACTATTTCCAGGACGATGCCTGCCAGCATTGACGGCTTGCCAAGTAAATTGACTGTTTCTGCGACAAGATCCACCTTGATCACGGCAACATCGAGATACATAGGCTATCCCTCCAAACACGAAGAAAACTATTCAATCAGTACCTAAATCTGCAGTTTCTGGTCACAGCGTCTTACCGTGTTATGTTCGGTGAGTGCGATGAGTATCATACTTTGAGGAAAGTAACGACAAGCTGTCAAGCCAGTCGCCAAAGCCCCGAGAGAATGAATATCTCAGCATGAGGGCGTCTCGTAGATGTTGTAATCGACGCAATGGATATCAAGCGTAAGCAGCTGTCTGTCTGCCAAAGACGAGACGCCTTCCCAGGGCGCGCCAGAAGCCACCATAGAGGTCGACACTGGGACCGGGTCTATCGCTTGATCGATCGCTCAAAAATGGCTAAGGCTGAAGTGAAAACTGGTGACTTGTCAAATGTAGCAAGCAGTCCAGCAGTAAAATCCAACCCGACTTCAAAGAACGCTCCGACCACATATAAAGTCGTCCTGGCCAATATACGTCAGAACCACTCTAGAAACATAGGCCGCATATCGCCAGATCAGTTGAGATCCCAAGGATATCATGGCATTGATGCACGTCCGAAGTAATCCGATTGAAGCTTGCCGCTTTGTTCCCCGCTTCGTCTCTCGCCCGACCTAATCCAGTCGAATGTTCAGCTCCTCGCAAGATCTACAACAACCCCCGATCTTCTGGCGGGCAATGAATGGGGTGATAAACACGGCTAAAACGTATTGCCACTGGCTGGTCACCTGAGAACGTTACACCCTTGGCGGCGCACTACCTCCCTCTTTGACGTGGCCCAGCCTATCCATCCAACTTGGGAAACCGCGACTTGGTGGCTTACATGAAGAGACACGGGACATCACTGTTATATGAGCTACTGTGCGATGACGCATAATGCGAGCAAGTGCTTACTGATTTATAGCAGAAGTTCGTCATTGTACCTACGCACGGTAAGGTGGTAGCAAGGTCTGTCACAGTGCAGGTTGACTATTCAGAGCAGAAAAGTTAGAAGCATGAAGCTATCGCAAAGTTCTGGCTTTCGATAAGGAGATGTATCATTATCTGAGGTTTTATGCTATCGAGCTGGTGGGAGCTCGAAACGACGTTTTGGTTACAGTGATAGGTGGCCAGGTTGTGCGATAAGAATCGGTTTTGCAGGTTTACGTTTCAGCTCGGTCGTTGGAACTCATAGGTAGATAGATTGATTTGATACGTTCTACACCACATGTCATTGATAAGTGCGTGCCTTTCCCGAGGGATTCCTCTTTCAGACCTTTCAATTCATGTGGGCACCATCTTGGCCTTAAGGTCCTTGCAATATCGTGAGGAAGTTACGAAGAATCGAGCGTGGGTGATTCAATTCCATATATCTTTTGGGTTTCATTAAGTCACAAAAAGTCCACACAATAGATATATTGAACATTGAGGTTTAGTTTGACCTCTCGAGAGTTGAGTTGTCTGCCCACCGTAACACCAACAGTGGCGAACGCTATGCCGCCGATGATGCGAAGGTCGGTCTAAGAGCCACAATTCTTTTCAGCTAAGCCCGTGGTTTAATTCCCTGAGGCGTTGAGAAAAGGTCTCCTGGATCAACAGCTCTCTTGATCTTCTCCAGCCTCGGAAGGTTGTCACCCCAATAGTGTTGTTGTGGGATCCCCTTGATCCTCAGGTTGGTGTATCCTGCGTAGGACAGATACTTTTCAGGCTCATTTCTCTGATACTTGAGAACAGCATTGTCGACGAAGTCGTGTGTGATAGTCGCCGTGGTGGACTCAGTCTGAGCATAAACTGCAAAGAAGTACGCCAGATTGCGATGCGGGAACGCCGTCGCGCCGGACGCAACATCATTCACGGCACCTCCGTAGAGGTCGACCAAAACGAACCAGCTCTTTGATCCCGAATCGGTGCCCTGAAGATGTTCAAAGACGGCGTCAATCGTGTCGTTGCTGGGCAACGTCGAGTAGGCAACGGCTGTATCCTTGGCGTAAAAATATGACTGCGCGGGGAATATGTTGGAGATAGTGTCGAAGGTCCTGTTCATGTGCCCCATCCAGGTCAAGTTGGTAATAGTATTCTGCTCCGTTATTCCGTTGATCAGTCTGCTGAAGTTGACCTTGTTGTACTCCAATTCTGTGCCAAAAAAGACACCACTGATTTGAAGGGTGTCCTTGAGGATAATTGCGGCAGAGGATAAGCGCGGATCAAGGGATCTATTGACAGTAATCTCGTGGTAGGCCTTGAATGCATCCGAAAGCTTCGTTGGGTCTGAAGATGTAATGGTGAAGATGAAGTTAACAACCGCGTCGGGTTCAGTCTGAGTCCTGAACCAGAAGCTGGTGGCGATTCCAAAGCTCGCACCAGCTCCCCTCACAGCCCAAAAGACATCTGGATGATGCGTTTCGGAAACAGTTGCAATGGTACCATTTGCAAGGACAACTTCTGCGCCAACCATCACGTCGAGTGAAGTACCAAGAAGGCGGCTATGAAGTCCGAGACCACCGACGGTAGCATGGCCGCCGATTCCAACGGTAGGAGACGATCCGTGAGGCATCCATCTCTTTCCATTGGCGTGAAGCTTCTCGCAGACATCTTTCAGTCTGTTTCCCGACCCCACTTTGGCGATGCCATCAGAGCCGAGCTGAACATGGTTGAGGTTTTTCATGTCAACTACGACAGCTCCATCATTGCCACCAATCCCTAGATCAGCAGTTAGCACACTTGTCTATTCAAAGCTTCAGGAAAAGAGAGCTGACCTTTGTTCGTGTAGTCGTGTCCTCCACTTCTAGCTTGCACCTTGCGATCGTGTTGAGAAGCACAAACAATAATGCCTGCAACCTCCGAGGGGCTATTAGGGTAAAGGATGGCAAATGGCACATATTGAAAATTGAGGTTGTATGGCCGAATGTGGTCGGCCTGGAAATCAGCCTCATTCGAGAACTTGGCCCTCAAAGTTTCGCCGCCAACAGATTCTAATAGACAATCTTTCAGGTTCGTGGCGGCATGCGCCTTTGCAGTGGCAAGAAACCATGTCAAAGACAGCATCAGAGAAGAGCAATAGCGACCCATTACGAGTTTGAAGTATTGAATAGGTTGGAATGCAATGTTGTAGAATTTAGCTTGTGAGATTGGAAAGTCTTGTTGAGCTGTGGTATCAAGATGCCCTTGAAGAGACCTTTTATCGTGGTTCTTAAAGTACCATCGACAGACCACGCCATGCAGGTGCGGAATACCAGAAGAGCCGAAATTCCGGCGGCGGGCCAGCATCCTTGCTGGTGATAGTCTGCGAGACTAAAGCACTTGATAGCTCGTTTCTTGGCTTTTCCCTCTTTACACTTTATAAGGCAGTTCCGGGGTCCGCGTTGTAGCTTTTGTGCAGGTCGGCCCGCGTATGTGCGGGCAATAGCAGCAACCAGCACTACTTCCCAAATGGGGCATATGCCCCAACATTGAGATGGACAAAAGGTACATAACTAAAAGTCTCCCGCTTGCAGCTTTCTTGATATCAGGTAACGCAGAGGCTCTAACCCGTAACACTAGCGGCTCATAAGTAAAGGCAGCACGCAGAACTTTCCAACCACGAGCTCACGTTTGGTCCTTACGTCGTCCTTTTCATGTGGACAGCATGGCTGGCTCTAGGGATGACTGTTTGCTGAGCCCATACCTAAGCCACGGCTTTCGAGCAAGATCCAGAAGTGGTAGGTGATTTTGTGTATGTCTAGAATAAGATCTTATTTCTCCAGCGCATCCCTGATAGCACGCACAGATTTAGACAGCCCGAATTGGCCGGACCAGCCCAATCTTTCGTCCAACTTAGATCTCTCGGCGGCTTCTTCGGACGCATTGATTATATCGGTACTTCGGACTCATGCCACACCCGCTTGCGAGACACAAGATGAGCAAAAGGCACAAAAACGTCTTACCGAGACCCCCGAATCTGATTGTGTCGGTATGTCGGGACGTGATATCCAATTCCACGTTGGCTCGAACCTTGCGATTCTTTCACGCCCACGAACACAGACTTAGACATCTTAGCCGGAGCAGAGATGACAGGCTATGATTGAAGCAGATCCAAATCAACAAACAGCTAACTTGGTTCTGAGCAAGTTCCATATCCTTGAGGCCTTTTGATGAGATCTACTGCCGTTTGTTCCGTGGAGGATCTAATTGACATCGTGAGT